TTTTTTTTTAGAATATTTTGCTTCACTTTTATGTAGTTAATATATTGGATCTGTGGAATTTTATTGTTTGATTTCTCAATGCTGATATGAATGAAAAGCACACAGGCCATCACTAATACCTGAATGTCACAAGATCCAGAAAACTCAAATACTGGAAGCTGCTTTCTCATGTCTGCCTTCCCTGAGTAATAATTTGTTTAATGACTTTCCCCTACACTGGTATGAGCTGCATTAGGGGAAGGATGATGCCAACCTTTTCCACAGCTGTATTTCACAGTTCCTGAAAAATCAGAATACCAGACTACAGAAGGCTTATGGGAACTCACCCAACCAGTGATGCTCTGCTAATAAAATCTGAAATAAAACAAGGTAGAAAAAATTGTAAGTTATTAATTCTCAGGTGGGAAGTAATTTCATACTTATTATTTTTTAATACAATGAAATAAGTCTTTGACTCTGACCCTGCAACACCCACATCAATAGTAGTGGCTAAGAAGAAGCCAAAATAAAATAGCATTTATTGGCAGCTAATTTGGGTCAAGCAGTCTTTCAGAATGTTTAAATGTTTGCTCAGTGAAATCTCCAGAGAACACCATATGGAAGGTGTGACTACCCCATAGTGCAGATGGGAGAATTCTGTGGTCTAGAAAAAAGAAATTACTTTCCATGCTGACAAAACATTATAATCAGATCTTCTGTTTCTGCATACAGAATCTTTTCTAAACAATGAAGTGCCTCTACCTTTCTGAACTGGGGGGAAAAAATGATTCATTCAGGAAGACGACAGAGTGTTTTGAAGATATTCCATGTTAGATTACATGTATAGAATCCACAAGTTGGATGAAAACCATCTCTTTCATATTCCAGGTGGCCTAGATCCTTTCTGGAAGTTCCAGCATTTACAGGCATTTGTTAAAATGAAATAATAAGAGATAAATTAACTGAGGGAGATAAAAAAAGTCTATTTATTTCATCATTGTTAATTACAATGAAAAATTGGAATCGCCCTAATTGAACACCAACTGAAGAATATTAATATAATTAAAATCCATCTGTGTGGAGGACTATTACACCAGGCCTCTAAATTCATTTTCTATATGACTAGAGATCTAGAAAAATCTAATAGTATATTTCTAAGTGAAAAAAAGCAGAAAACAATGTACATATTACAAAAAAGATTGAATATTACAATAAAAATATGTATATGAGCATATGTGTGTATATTTATAGATATTTAAAAACTAGAAAAATATACTTCAATATATGTTTAAAAGTTACCTCTGAGTTCTGAGATTTCATGCCTTTTTATTTATTTTTTTTATAATTCTATTTTCCAAATTTTCTAAGGGAACATGTATTTTTATATAAGAAGCAATGTTCTTTGCAGAAAGAAAGGTAGAAGCAAGAAATTCAGATAACAGGAGAAACTGTGCGATGGTAACATATCTTCCCTGTTAACACTACACAGGCTCTTAATTGCTACAGGGGACCCCCTTAAATGGCATCCATCTGTCACTGCAATCTCCTGTTGTGCTCTTCTCTTTCTTAGGTCTTTCTAC